CACAAGGAGTGGGAGAGGTGTTCGTCCTTCAGAGAGAGGGAGAGGAAGAGAGGGGGAGGGGAAGGGAGGGGGAGAGGGAGGGGGAAGGAGAGGGAGAGAGGGAAGGGGAGAGGGAGAGGGGGAAGGGGAGAGGGGGGAGGGGGAGGGGGAGAGGGAGAAGGAGATGAGTCGGGGAGGGGGAGAGGGAGATCTAGGCTGGGCAGACTCCTGGCTCCAAGTGATCCTTCTGGCTCAGCCTCCTAGCTGCCAGGATTACAGGCATGTGCCACCTCGCCTATTGGGAAACTTTTAATGCACACAGAAACATTCTTCCCTTTGTCATTTGACAGAAATAAGATTATTCTAATAAGCCTGGTCATCTGCACCTTTCAGACTTAAGCAGTTTTTCTTGACTATCTTTTTCTTCCAGATAATAGTTTTATTGAAATATATAATTTACACATCTCACAATCTACTCATTTCGAGTGGGCAGTTCTCACTGTAGTGACGGAATACAAACATACCACAGTCAGCTTAGAACCTTTCTTCAGTAGTCATTCCTCATTTCTCCTGCCCACCCTTCTCCCCTCAGCAGCCTCAGGCAAGCTCTGGTCTACTTCTGCTTCCATAGCTCCGCCCTTCTGGGCGTTTCACAGAAATCAGGTCGGGCCATAGAAGCCTTTTGCTTCACATATAGCGTCATTCAGTATTTTTTTTAATGTGGAGTCACTTTACATGAATATGGATATATGTGTATATATATTCATGGATATACATGTATATATACTCATATTCATATATATACACACATATTCATATTCACACACACACACATATGGTTTCTGTGTGTAATAAACAGCCCTGGTTATCCTGTAACTCATTCTGCACACTACTGCCTGGTGTGACTATGCCTTTTTTTTTTTTTTTATCTCCTCATCGCTTGATGGATACTCATTAAGAATATGCTGCTAGGCATGGTAGTAATCTTTAATCTTGGCACTCAGAGGCAGAGGCAGGCAGATCTGTGTGAGTTCAAAGCTAGCCTGGTCTACATAGCAAGTTCTAAGCAGGCAGAGCTAAAATGGAAGGAAGGAAAGAAGGAATGAAGGGAGGAAGGAAGGGGGAGGGAGGGAGGGAAGGAGGGAGAAGGGAGGGAAAGGGAGGGAAGGAGGGGTAAGGAAGGAAGGGAAGACAAGAACAGTTCTGTTTAGGCAATGGTGGTACACACCTTTAATCCCAGCACTTGGGAGGCAGAAGCAGGTGGATCTCTTAGTTCGAGGCCAGCCAGGGCTTCAGAGAGTTCCAGGACAGCCAGGGCTACACAGAGAAACCCTGTCTCAAAAGAACAGAGAAGAACAGTGCCATAAACACTTGCATAAAACTTGTAAAAATTGACTTTTTAAATTGTGTGTGTGCATACATGATGTATGTGTGGGAACATGCGCACCATGGCGAGTTTGTGGAGGTCAGAGAACAATTGCAGGAGTTAGTTCTAATGATTGAATTCTCATGGCCAGGCTTGTACAGGAAGCGTATTTACCTACTGAGCCATTTTGCTAACCCACTCTACCCCCCTGCCCCCCCACCGTGTGTGTGTGTGTGTGTGTGTGTGTGTGTGTGTGTGTGTGTGTGTGTGTGAATGTGTCTGTGTCTGTGTATGTGTATGTATATGTATGTATGAGAGTGTATGTGTGTGTATGTGTGAGAGTGTGTGTGTGTCTTACTGGATAGCCTAGATGGGTCTGTCTGGACTCCACCCTGGAATCCTCTTGCTCAGCCTTCAGAGTGCTGGGATTTCAAGTGTGATCCACCACACCCGCCAGCTTGTTTATGAGCGAGTATAAGAACATTTCATTTCAATTGACTGGATCTCAATTTGGGGCAGTCATTGGTTGGCCATTCCCTTAGTCTCTGCTCCATCTTTGTCCCTGGTTGTTTTTAATTTGTTTTTTTTGACAGAGAGTTTCTCTGTGTAATCTGGGCAGTCCTGAAATTCCCTAGGTAGACCACACTGGTCTTAAACTCACTCAAAGCCTCTGCCTCACTGACTGCTGGGATTAAAGATGTTCTCCACCTTAGAATCTACTTTCAAAAAAAGGGGGGGTGGGAATAAATGTAAGAAAAGAAAGTACACAGGACAATTTCAACTCAGGAAGATCATTGAGAAGAAAGTAAAACAAGATCCTTGATTTGGAAATTTGGAGATTTCTCTGAAGTGACATCCTTTGGGCCACCACCCCAATGGTGAGAAATAACACGGTTCGGAAGGCTGTTCCAGGCACAGGGAACAGCAGTACGAAGGCCTTGACGTGGGAATGCACTTGGTGTGTTCGCTGAATGGAAAAAAAAAACTGTTCCCTGGAAGAGCAGCCAAGGCCTGAGGTCTATGGCAGGGGTCCAGGGCCCCAGCTGGTATAGCCTTAGTAAAGCCTGCGTTGTAGTCCTAAAATGAGGGGTTTCTGTAGGGTGTCAAGCCAAGGAGTGACTCGATACAGTGTATATCCTTAAACAATAGCTGTGGTTGTTTGCAAGGTACTTCTGGCTTCCAAGCACTGGATCAAAGGTTCTCTGGAGTGAAATGACGGGCCGATAGGCTTGGACATTTGAAATTACAAGCTTGTTTCCAACAGTCTCCCCAAAAGATAGGGTTTTCATTCTGACGTGTGGTCATCACCTCTGTCGTGCAGGTACCTAGACAACCCTCACGCCCAGAGGCTGGCACCCACCCTCTTACTCTACTTCTTTGCAGGACCATCCTTGCTGCACTTGCGCAGTAACTCTGGCTGCACAGCAGAGCCCTCGGATAATACGGACGCCCCCGCAACATGGCAGACGAAGACCTCATCTTCCGCCTGGAAGGTGTTGACGGTGGTGGGTCCTCCCGCGCTGGCCATAATGGGGACCCTGACACAGACAGTGACGATGATGAGGGCTACTTCATCTGCCCCATCACCGATGACCACATGTCCAACCAGAATGTCAGCCCCAAAGTCCAGAGCTACTATAGCAACCTAATGAAAACAGAGTGTGGCTCCACAGGGTCACCAGCCGGCTCTTTCCACTTCAAGGTGAGTGGCCACCTGCTTTGCGTTTGTGTCCAGCCCACCTGTTATGAGGGATGGGAAGTCTGGGTCTCTGATTGATGACTTAGTTGTCCCCAAACCCTGGCAGTGCATTTTGCATGGGAGGGTGTTCCCATTAATCTAGGAGGTGACTGTTGGTTTTAGGTACGGGCGTTTTTTGTTGTTGTTTTGCCACAGAACAGTGTTTTTCAAATAGATTGAAAACCTTTTGGGGCTCCAGTTGACGCTTGTCGGTAAAGGCGCTAATTGGTAAGCCTGAAAGCTCAAGTTGGGTTCTAGAACCCACATAGGTTCCTGTAGGTTGCTTTTTGGCCTCTGCAGTTATTTCTCTTGGTTTGTTATCATCGAGACAGGGTCTCATTAAGTAGCCAAGCTAATCATGAGCTCATGATCCTCCTGCCTCAGCCTTGGAAGTGCTGGGATTGTCTGTGGACTCAATATTATTTCTTTTTGGTTTTTTTGTTTTGTTTTGTTTTTCGAGACAGGGTTTCTCTGTGTAGCCCTGGCTGTCCTGGAACTCACTCTGTAGACCAGGCTGGCCTCGAACTCAGAAATCCGCCTGCCTCTGCCTCCCAAGTGCTGGGATTAAAGGCGTGCGCCACCACCACCCGGCTCAATATTCTTTCTTTCTTTCTTTTTCTTTTTATTTTTTTGAGATAGGGTTTCTTTGTGTAGCCTTGACTGTCCTAGAACTAGCCTCAGTTTTGTAGGCTGGGCTGGCCTTGAATTTACAGAGATCTGCTTGCCTCTGCCTCCCTTGAGCGCTGGGATTAAACGTGTGCATCACCACGCCTTTTTTTGTTTGTTTGTTTGTTTGGTTGGTTCGTTTGTTTGTCTTTTGAGACAGGGTTTTATGAAGTCTCAGAATCACTATGTCGCCAAGATGACTTTGAATTCCTGATTCTCCTGCTTCTACCTCCCAAGTGCTGGGATAATAGGTGTGGACCCCAATCTTGGATAATCCTTATCCATGAGCAAAGTATTCTAAGACTGCAGGGGATGAGTGAGACATGAGTAGTGCCTAACCCTCTGCCCTCCATACACTCATGCCTGTGATAAAGGTTTAAGTCATAAACTAAACACATTAAGAGATTAAGCCACTAATAATAAAATAGAACAAATAGAACAAATAGTATAATAAAATCTACATGCTGGGGGTATAGCTCATTGGTAAGCACTTGCTGCCCATATACAAGGCACTGGGTACCATCACCAGCACTGCAAAGAACCAAACCAGAGCAAACAAACTATAAAGTTGTGGACATGTAGTCTCTCTCATTCTCTCTAGACTTCATATTATACTAGTACACGTAGATGCTTCTGTGCTATCTCACTGGCCACGAGTAAGTGAAACCAGAGACTAGGAAGGCACAGATAAAGGGGACCACTGTCCACACCCTTCACACATGCAGTGACATAGTGACTGTTGTTTTTGCTGATGGACTTCCTGTAAAGTGCTCTTTAGTGTTTCAGTAAGTGTGTATTTAGGTCTGGAGATGCAGCACAGTTGGCAGAGTGCTTGCCTAGGACACATCAAGCCCCGGGTTTCATCTTTAGCGTCATGTAAGGATCCCAGCATTCGAGAGGTGGTGGAGGCAGGATGATCAGACGTTCAAGGTTACTGTCAGCTCTATCTCAGGTTTGAGACCAGCCTGGGACATGAGTCCTTGATTTTAAAATTGACAAAATAGGCTGGGAAAATGGCCCGTCTGCTGAGAAAGCGTGCGGCTCTTGCAAACAACCCAAGTTTGAAGCCTAGCACCCTCTTCAGCCTGCTCATTGCTACCTAGGTCCAGCTCTAAGGGGTCCAGTGCTTCCTTCTGCGCCAGTTACCCTTGTGTACACATGGCATATACATGCACATGTATGCACATGCATAAAAATTTTACAGATGAATCTTTTTTTTTTTCTTCGAGACAGGATTTCTCTGTATAGCCCTGGCTGTCCTGGAACTCACTCTGTAGACCAGGCTGGCCTCGAACTCAGAAATCCACCTGCCTCTTCCTCCCAAGTGCTGGGATTAAAGGCGTGCACCACCACTGCCCAGCTCAGATGAATCTTTAAAGTTTTTTTGTTTTTAAAGACAAAACAGACAAAAATATGTATTGGACTTCATGCTTTTATTGGAAACCATGTGAATCAGGTCATGCACTTAGGCATCGAATTACATGCTCTAATTCAGTTGCATTTATTTTTGGCCTGTAATGTTTTTGATATTAGCTGAGTACAGTGAGGTAAATAGTTGTCTGCCATTCTCTCCTGGCCTCAGCAGGGGCAGGCTGAATTCTTGTTAACCATTGTTTTTGAAATGGCACCTTAGATTGAGTGCATACTGTATGGGTTTAGTATTTAACACTTCCATTTAGACCAGGCTGGCCTCAAACTCACAGAGATCAGTCTGCCTCTGCCTTCCTAGTGCTGGGATCAAAGGTATGCACCACCACCATGCCCAGGAGGGTTGGAGCTTCAATAAATGTTTGAGGTTTTTTGTTTTGCATATATGTGTGCAGTATACGCGTTCGCATGTGTGTGATTGTTTGATTAGGTGTGTGTCAGTGTGTGTGTATGTGTGTGGAAGCCAGGAGTTGACACTGGATGTCTTTTTCCATCACTATCCATTTTGTTTATAGAGGCAGGGTCTCTATGAATTCTACTGATTCTGGCTAGCTCGGTTGCCCTGAGGGTCCCCTGAGTTCTGGGATTATAGGCTGCTGCATGCCTGCAAGGCTTTTGACAGGGATGCTGGGAACTCACTTCCCCTAGCCTAGATGATTTACTGGCTTCAGCATCAGGGTGGAGAGAAAGAGAGGGGCTCAGAAGGAAAGACAAGACGCGACTAAGAGCATGAGTGTGGGTGGACTTTTCAAGTGTACAGACAGACAGATGGAGGCGCATGCCTAGCCTTAGGCACCTGCTGTGACAGGCGAGGTGCTCACCCTGCAGCAGGGTACCTGCTGCCCAGCTCTCTGTATTGTTTTTGTTTGTTTGTTTGCTTGTTTGTTTGTTTTTACCACAGTCATATGTTGGATTTAGGTGAGGTTTGAGGGGTCCCTTAGAAATGTAAATGAGATCACTGGGTGTTTGCTGAGGGGTGCCTGCAGGATTGGGCTGTAAAGTGGTACAGAAGGCAATTCAGACGTCTTCTTTGTGAACAGTTTTGTTGGAGATTGTCAGGGAGATTGTTGGGGGAGGGAATAGAAGCTCTACCCAAGATCTTGAGCCTTCGGGCCTAAGCCTGGGGCACTGTTACTTAGTATAAAATCTCTCTCTAGGAGAGGAAAAATTAACTATGTGAGCAACTTGTACAGGACATGTTCATTGTTTTTTGGGGGAGCAGGGGGAGCTTCCTGGATCTCAGCTGATGAGAGGTTTTATTTTTACGGCTTCTGGGTGAACACTCCCTTCCCTTCTCACAGCCGGTAATTTCTCTTTCCATCCTGCCTCAAAATCTGTATAATAATAAATAAAGAGTTAAAACTTAGTGCCATCGGCCTTGTTAAATTTGGTCATTGTTCACAGTAAATTAACATTAGAAGCAAAATACCTGTTACTGCTTTGAGATTTGCAATGAAAACCATCCCGTGACTTCAGAATTCATTTGTTTTGTTGTTATTGTTGTTTTCAGAATTTTTTATTTTATTTTTTTAGAAAATTTTAATTCTTGCAGATGTTGGGTAGTTGGTTGTGTGTGTGTGTGTGTGTGTGTGTGTGTGTGTGTGTGTCTGTGTGTGTCTGTGTCTGTGTTTTGTTTTTTCCTTTTCAGGGCTAGAGTTCTAGCTTAACTTACTCTCCAGCACGTAGCTCCAGAAATAACTCAGTCTCCGCTGGGTTTGTGGGGCCCCTGAAGGGCAGGTTCCAGTCTATCTTGCTTCCCATCCCAAGTCAGCTTTGCAACTCTCCCAATGGCTCAGCACTTCACCCCAAGCTCTCCCTTTTCCCAGCTTCCATCTCTAGAGACAGCTAGAAGGGGTTATGTGCAAACAGCTCCAAGGCCCAGGCAGAGGGGCCTCTTTAAATGACACATCATGGTTCTAACAGAGAGACATGTTTACATTAAAATGAGTGATGTTATTATGTGACTGTCTTTAAAAAGACATTATCTATAAATATTTCAGGTCCTAGAGATGTGGCTCAGAGGAAGAATGGCTTCCTAGCATGGCATGGCCCTGGTTTTCATCTCCAACCCAAGCTCAACAAGTTAAGCTAAGCTACCACCCATCTTTAATACAGCAGTTAAAGAGAGAGAAAGTTATTCAGTGGAGCCACACTGTGCAGAGGAACAAATAAGAGATCCAGTGACCCCCTAAGCCTATCTCTTGGGCTCTGACACATGAGGTTTAGGTTTAAATTGAAGGCTAGAGTAGGCATAACTTATCACCCCTGCCGGAGGTCAAGGGTCATTGACCCACTTTGTCTTGGCTCTGGTGTGTCTGCAAGCTAGCATGTTGTCAGAACTGTGTGAAATCTCTTCCTGGGAAGTGGGCCTCTGCTCTGACTGGCACCTGGGATTTAGCCTTCCCCTTTTCCCAGTATGGGATTCCAGGGGAGATTTTAATTTTGGGGGGTTCATTGTTTTGATAACATGATAGGACAATATCTCTCTTTAAATGGTCTTCTCTCCCTCCAGGACAGAACCTTCAAGTTTGCATAGAAAGCACTCTACCTCTGAGTTGTGTCCCCAACTCCCAAAAAGTTTAAGAAAAACTACTGCAGTATCACCAGGTCATATTACCTCCCTCAGAAACAGATCCTCAGAGAGCCTATCCTTCGAACTCCTCCTCAGTTCTTCAAGGTTGAGTTCAGAATCTGGGAGCAACGTCTAGATTCAGTTCACCCCTCCACACTACGATTCCTAACAATAGCAAAATGACAGTTATGAAGTAGCAATGAAAACAGTTTTATGGTTGGGGGTGACCACAGCATGAGGATCTGTACTGACGGATCACAGCATTAAGGAGGTTGAGAACCACTGGCCTAAAACTTCT